GTTCGCTTGATGACATTGCATCGCTCAATCGCGTCTTACTTACGCCCTCAACTTCCCATCCAACCAAATACCCTTCACTTCCAACCAGAAAGGCTAGCCTCGCGGGAGTAGCCGTGGGGCAGCCAGCAATGTGTATCGCGTCCTTCCTGAAACGGCTGTGAAATTCTGCGCATATTTTATTTGCTTTTCTGTAATCCTGCCACGCGTGCAATCGCTGCAAGTCATCGCACCTTTGGAGGATTCCCACGTGCTGAAAATAAGATGGGAACGGTTGTCGCATCATAAAACCGGCTCTCATCGGGCCTGTGCCTCGATCTCTGCTTTCGCGACGACGCGACATGCAACGCTCGAGCACGCGCGGCCCAGGAGATATGAGTGCTCACTCGTATATTCCTAACGCGATCACGTGGCCAGAACGGCAGCTGCAGTCAGCGGGGAGCGGTCCTTTTCATTTCCATGACTGCCATCGCGGTTGGACAACGTACGGATAGGAGTGCAGAATCATATTTGGGCCTTCGTCTCAACAACCGTGCAGCAAGGTTTGGGCTTGCTGACGATGTCTCACTGCCCTCGGAGTTTGCCATGGACAAGGCAGTCCCGGGCACGTCGGGCAGATGACGTCGGAGCTTCGGACGGATCATTCCCCCGTCTGAATCTGCCAAGATATCCGAGCATCAAGCCGGTCCTCCTCCAGCAGCGAGCCTAGAGTCGGGGACTACTTACTTTGTCGCGTTCTCCACTACTCTCAGGATTACAAAATGCCGGAAGAGAATTGGATTGCTCATGGAGGCGTCCCCGCGTGCGACTTATGCCATTCCCGAAAGGTGAGTCGCCGACCCAATCGGGCCACTACCCGCATTGCGACTGAAGCGTTGACAGCTCGCAGGTGAAATGTGATCGCAAAGAGCCATGTGCAAACTGTGTGGCAGCCAAGACGGAGTGCTTGCGCAACAGACACAAGCGTGTTCCTAAGCCTAAAGTTCGGACGTAAGCAACTGCCCATCTCTCGTGCTTGTGACAGATGCAGAACAGGAGTTCTTTTTCTCGATTAGCACCTTTCGTTCCAGCTCTGATGATGATGCAGGGACGAAAAAATAAAAGCTCTCGTGGAGCGGCTGTCGAGTCTTGAACACTCGGTCCAGAGTGTTCACCGAAGCCCAAGCCTGGCGCAGGAGCAGGAGTGTACAAACAGTTTCGCTGTACCGACCATTGAAGCATCGTCAGACCGACCGACAAAGAGGCAGAGAACAACAAGCTCGCTAGACGTGCCGGCCCCGGTGGCAGCTTCGGATGTTGATAACAGTCCCCAGACAGCACATGAAGCTCGTGTACATATTAGCAAAGAGCTCTCTACCAATGGACTGCTGTCCGGTCATCAGCGTTCGGTCCTCGAGACCGCCATGTCGTTCGTTGACCAGCTATCAAATACCCCAACGCCGACCATGACTGATCGAAGTACCTTTGACGAGTCGATGCATGTCTCTACTGAAATATCCAAGCGCGAGATCTTTAACATTATCCTTGGCAGTAAGTCGATATGCTTGGAGAATCTTGACACAGAACTGATGAGACTGCTAGCTGAATCCAAAGACCGAGGCAACGCTGCCGTTCGCTACCACACTGTCGATCATGTACCACCAAAGGCGTTTGAGAAGATCGCGCTCGCTTTAATGGAAGGAAACGCGGACGAGAAGACCCTTAATCTGTACAAGGTCATTGTGCACTTTCAAGGCGCTGTTGTACTATACGCAAATCAGCTACAAGGCCCCAAAAGCGCAGCCGTCCAAACGCACATCCAGCAAATGGAGTTCAATCATCTGACAGCAGCGCTTACTGCTCTGGACCGCATTAGTTTCCTAACCGCGCCATCCCTACTACTTGCTCAGGCCTTGATCACTGGGGTACGTCTATGGTAGCTGTGCTACTTCGAGATGATTTACTAATAGATGCAGGCCATCATGATGCAAATTATGGGTAACCCAGTGAGTTGTTGGGAACTCACGGCACATGCATCTCGCACTATTGTAGCTCTGGGATATCACCACATTGATAAGCCAATGCCTGAAAGTGATTCCGAAAGCGAAATCTATGCACTTGTCGGCCAATGCGCATTTCTTGACAGTATCATGAGCCTTTTGCTGCTGCGACCAAGATCTCTTCCTCAACTTCCGGTCAAAGCCTCGTACTTGTTACGAGCCGATCCAGCCAGCCCTATGAGCATTCTAGAGATGCTTCCCGTACTCGACAAGATCCTGGATCTGACATTGGACACGAAGCCATCGCCTACTATACTCAACGATGAGGTTGCGCAACTACGGAAAAAGATGAAGGACATCTACGAGCTCATGGAGAAGGAACGGCAACTGCATCTCTTGGATAGCAGAACGGATGCTCTCATACACTGGAAAAGCATGGAGTTCAGATACTTTTCTACCCTGACGTCGGTCCACCGCCTGAGTCCCACCGTTACGACAAATCCCTTGGAACGAGAAGAGTGCCTCCAAAGCGCCCGGAAAGCACTCGAGTGCGCAAAGTACATAGAGGAGCTCGGAAGATCTTTAGACCATTTCATTGAAGGCTATGATCCTTATCTCGCTTGGTAGGTGCAAGAAAAATTGGCGAAAACACTGTTACTGACAACGACCAGGAGCATGCTTTCTTACCCACTCTGTCCCTTCTTCGTCGTCTTTTGCAACGTCGTCGGTACATCCAGCGCCCAAGATTTCCAGCTCCTCCAAGATGTCACCGATGGTCTTTCTGCACTCGTTACAGAGAACAAGTATGTACATCGACTACATCGGCTGTGTGCCACGCTGCTGGGCCTCTGTAGGCCCCTGGTGCAGGGCTCTGGTACCCATGGACAGACACAGCACCCAACTGGAGACTCGACTGGACCGTTGACCACCTATCCCATGTCGGCAGCTTTCGGGAACGGTCCTGGCATCTTGAACAATAGCGGGAGTGACAACACTGCTGGTATCATGCCATCTTCATGGAACGACGACATGATGTGGCAGCTGTTTCAGTCGCAACCTTCTCTGGACTGGTTCAACGCTGATATATTGGATCCCTCTTGGGGTCTTGGACAAACACAGTAACTGCGAATCTGAGATACCTAATACTCCATTGACTGCATCTACACGATGACTAAACCTCAAGTTTGTTCTTGTGGACACGTCTAACATGATCTCTCAGCTTGTCTTCTCTTGCCGCTGGAAATGGCATACCTCCAGCGCCCTCGCTGCGATTGCAGTCAGAGTATGGACACCAAATATCACCAACGACGTGTACTGTTTGATAGTGTCTCTTCAGCTCATGTGGGCGACCGAAGATCTTCCCAACACATTCCGTCCACTGGCACTTGTACACAGATTTGCCTTCCTTGTCGATATGCACCGTTCCTATCTTGGTGTCAGATTCTGGGAGAGGAGCCGTACGTGGCAGCAGTGGCGGCGTCGCGCCGAAAGCCACGTTCTTCCGAGCATCAGCATGCGCCTGAGCGAGGCTATGCGGCGAGACGGAATCATGCGGTTCGCGACGAACATCGCCGGGCGACAATGTGGAAACCGGTACAGGCCCAACGTGAGATTGGACTCCGGTACGATGCGAGAATGGGTCATCGGCTGCCGAATCATCGTCGCAGGATCTACAAAATGTCAATCAGGTACTCCAAGAGCGCAAATGGTCTTGTTACCTTTGGGTCATGGCCTGCGATTGATCAATCACGACTTCGTCTCCAAAAAGATAGATCGCATCTAGCGCACCCATTAGAGACCTCATGAGCTTGCCAAAGAACCCCTGATCTTTCCAACATACCATCGGCCCAAGACTGCCAGATTTCCCCACCTGGAGACATCGAAACGTCAGCCCAATTGTTGTTCGCTGCATGGTCTGAACTACTGCTGTCCATGGCGGGTCTTTGGTAGTCGCCCAATGTCATGTACTACTAGAGATCGGCTCGTTGATCTCTTGGTGGAAGTCTAAGAAGCGAAGTGAGGATATCAGGCAGGCGATATTCATTGATGTGATGATCAAGTGTCAGAAAAGCCAGCCTTACCGCAAATTTACTGTCTTATAAGTACCTCTTGACACAGTCCAAAGCAAGAGCCCTACCTGCCCGACATCTCAGGTCCAAGTGTAGGCGTTGCGTCTACTTTCGGCGTGTCCTACTCTGAAGTAAATCGCCAGCGACATGCAGTTGTCACTTCGATGTACCCGGCAGCAACCGCCTGGAAGCCGTGCCGAAAACTAGTACTATTCCATGCAGCGGGGCAATGGTTTTGGCGACCACCAAGGCCCGAACGGCTAGTAAATTTGTGTAAGATCGAGAATCAAAGTATGAAAAAAACGATCTGTCGTCGCGGCGTCGCGGTTATTTACATATGCGCACGGCGCGGTGTGACGCCACACGCAAGGTACCCTGTTTTGGGTCACACCGGACGGTCCTTCGACTGTTCTATCGCTCACCGATCGAGGATATGCGGTGACCACGTCCAATCAGCCTAAGTAATCATTCATCTTGTTTCCTCGCATATACAACATTATTTTTCCCTGGACGCACGTCTCGGCAAGCGAGTGCCTTCCTCCGATAGGCCACAGAGTTGATCGCATAAACCTCCGATTACGAGGCGCTTTTCTTCGTCGAATCGGCGGTAAACCTGCCAGCCCTTGTCTTCTCACACAGCGCAGTAGCAGTCCCTTCAGTTCTTGTACGGAAACCCTACGAGCCATGTAACCATCCACATCCTTTGATAGATGGATGTCGTAGAGTTCGTCGAGTCCTGTGAGATCAAGGCGCTATACAGTGTTCTCTATGGTTTACATCAGGCTATAGGCTCTGATCTCGACTCACATGCCCACAGGTGTGGCGAGCAAATTGCGCGCACCAGATCACAGTGGGCAGGTTGCGCACATCTGGTATGTTTATTAATCGCTTTCATGACAACATATGATAGCGACGCCAACGAGGTCAGCCTCGTTGCCCGGTTCCGGCACACGTATCACGAAATCGACTGCTTGACATGCGTAGTACGCACTACAATTCAACTGTTAGCAATCATTTGCTTTCACAACACACGTGAGACTCACCGATAACGCGATCGTCGTCGCCAAAGCCCTTCGCCCGGTACTCAGATTTTGTGTCGCGATATTGGTGTAGCTCTAGGTGCTCTTCCGAGACACTTGACCCGAGCTTCGACACACTGGCGTTGGTATCCAGATACTTCTCCAGATGATAAAACTTCGAACGTTGCTTCGAAGGCACGGGCGGTCGCTTGCTCTGCTCATAGCTTTGGGGCGTAGACGATGGGCGGATGTGGTTCTTCATGCGGGGAATGTACGGACAGCACCCGACGATGGTGACGATGGCTAGTTCAGCCATACTGAGTTATGTGAATCTCGTGTCTCTTCAAAGGAGTGTGGGAATCGACTGACCAGATCAAACCCGCTTTGGTCAGTAGCCAGGAGAAGTCGGACTGCTGCAGCAGGATGACTCGATAGTACAGTCCTACACAACCGATTGCGACAGCGCTGTCATCCATTAGCAAGGTAATTGATTTGGCTTGGGTAGCAGCTGTAAAACTTACATTGCGCCCACGCCGAAGATTGCCAGGACCGCGATCTTCCGTTGCAGCTTCATGCTAAGCTGCCATATCGCCCAAACCGGTACCACGAATGCTTCTACGTCACTGATGACATTCAAAGTCCCCATGGCCATATTCAGCTTGTTCGAATCGATACACTTGCCTTCAATACTCGGGCTCCATATTTTCTCCCTCGGCCAGCATGTAAAGACGTAGAGGAAGAACATTGCGGTGTAGAACAGAGCATTAGCAACCAGCGAGCCAACGATCACCCAGAAAACGACACCACGAAACTTCGTGGTAAAGATCTTCTTGAGCTGCAAGAAAACAACAGTCTTCGCTAGTCCACTCGTGGCCGTGTAGCAAACGAATACGATATTGCAGATGTAGGATATCTCCGCGAATGTCGCCATGGAGATGTCCCACATGTGCCGAGCCATACCGACAGTCTCGGCATGCACGATGGCTGCGGTGTAGGCGATGCAGCCAACGTATGCGATATAGGAGAGATAGTCCTCGATGTAGCATGCTTTCGTTACGTATGCATTGACATAGGCGCGAGCCAGAATAAACGGTAGGGTGAAGAGATGGATGATCGTGGTGCCGACAATCACGGCCGGCATGAGCGTTGGAGGGTTCACGAAGTTCGTCGTCAGGCCTGGCGGTGGAGGAAGGATCGCGGTCTGTGTGAGATCTGTTGAAGTCATTGTGCTCCTTGGTCGGCTGGTGTTCCAGTGGCGGAAGAGGACCTAAAAGTATCGTGGGTTGCGCTCGAAGGGCGCTCGGCAATTATCATAGCAAGAGAAGGCTTGCATATTCCACGCCTATCCAGGATCTCATACATCACAATTTCGCTACGTTCGATCCTACGGCTCAGTTCTATCGTCACGCGCAGATTGAGGCTGCGGAAGACCAAGGGTATGGGGCGATCCCTTCCGTACAAAACCGCCCCACCCTCATCCTTTGCGGCGCAGTTCTGGCTACCTCTAATGATTTCACCATAGCCAGAAATAGGAGGCTCGTTCATGGTTCGGCATACTGTTGCGGTGCGGTCCCTACTAGCGAATGTGATCCGCGCCGCAATCGTGCATCGGCATCGGCATCCCTTTCCGGAAGGTACTTGCAGCGTGCCGCGTATTGCGGGTACGGCACGAAACGCGCACAGATGTTCCGCGGTCGCGTGCATTTATGTATACCAACATTTACTGCACAACGAGTGCTATACTCCCTAAGGAACAACTCGTGATTGGAACATATTCGCTCTATCGGTTCCCAGAACAATGGCTGACCAACCAGACTACGATGCGATAACTTGGCCCGTCCAACTCACGAGCAAAGTCCATCGTCAAACCAACCCGTCCCTGGATCCTAAAAACCCAGCTCTCTCAGCTGTAGGCAAGACAGTCCTAATCACTGGGGTCACAGGTGGCATTGGTCGAGCGATTGCTGAAGCATGGGTAACTGCTGGTGCCAAGGCCATCGTCATAACCGGAAGGAACGAAAAGAAACTACGAGAGGTGGTTGAGAAGCTGGATGCCCTAGGCCAGGATGAGACGATCGTACATTCATCTGGGTCCATCGATATCACGAAGGAAGAAGATGTTGCGATGTTGTGGAAGAGGGCAGCAGAAGCCGTCGGCCGAATCGATGTCCTCGTCAATAACGCCGGATCCTTGACGCAAGCTATGATCGGCAAGTTTGAGCCAGGAAAATGGTGGCAGGATTTTGTGAGACCCCTCTCTTTCCTAGAAGCCCCTCCATGATTACTGACACCTGCCTAGGAAGTGAACGTCAAGGCCGTACATCTGAACGTGCATCACTTCCTCGCCCAAGCGCCGGACGGCAAGGGCACTGTGATCTCGGTCTCCACCGGAACGTTGGGCGACATGTATGCCGACTTCTCCTCCTACATCCCCAGTAAACTCGCGCAAACCAAATTCATGGAGTTCCTTCATCATGAACAGCCTAGCATCCGCACATTCAGCCTCTTCCCCGGCCTCGTTGCAACAGATATGCCGCCGAAGCAGTATCTGGACTTTGCCCTTGACGATCCCATGCTTACAGGAGGCTTGACACTTTTCCTCTCTACAGAAAGAGCAGAGTGGTTACGAGGCAGCATGGTGAGTGTGAACTGGGATTACGAAGAAATGGAGATGCACAAAGAAGAGATTTTGGAAAAGAGGTTGACGAAGTTGGCTTTTTGTGATGCGAAGTTTGGGAAGGGAGGTCATCCTTGGGCGACGTGAGTTCGCATAGCTCTGACATTCAGGGATTTCAAGTCGCGTGGTCGAATGGCATAAACACTAACAACACTATGCCTGTGCGACTTGTTGTATTTCCCTTACAGATCCACTCATTAATTGTCTCCGGTACAACAGATAGCCCCTCTCGACCGCGATCCACATATACGCCGTCACATCAGCCACATATCTAGTCCGACGATGTGGTCTCAACCACTGACGTGTGTACCTTCCGGATATGGTCATTCAATTTGTCTTTCCTCGGAAACGGTCGTACACCACGGTCGCAACCGGGTACTGCGCACCAGAACATGTTGCCCGCATCTGCTGGTGCATGAGCCCCGTTATAGTGGCGCGCAAACTCTTGCCAACGGCCGAAGCTACGCCCATGACAATTTGGCTCCCTGCAGATGAATACGAAACTTCCCATGGTAGGCACGTATCTGATGATGCTGTTCGTATCGATAATTGGTGGATCCGGTCGGGATGTCGTGAGAGGCCACCCCTGTGGGAGCTGAAAGAGTGTTGTTGAGAGTGCATTCTCAGGAAGATCTGTATTAGGAGTCGACAGCGCGTCACCAAAGCTTTGACACTCGAGGCCAAATGGTCCTATAACTTCCGATCCAGAGACTGTGTTGAGTCTGACACCGGAGGAATGTGATGGTGGGTTGATGCTATTGATTCGTGGTCAGCCAGAAGATTAATGAATGTGATCCCTCGCCTCATACCTGTACATGTCCGTCAATTCCACGTGTTGAGACTGTGACTCCATCGACTGGTGGATCTCATTCCTACCCTGATACCCGCGAATCGGGATTGGAAGTACCCCGTACGCACTTGCGGATACAGTTTGATCGCCCTGAGCGTGTAGGGCTAGAAATGCCCGATCATCAAAGTCGATTCCATCCGCAAGCATGCTCTTGACCCCCTCGGATATAGTAGCAACTGGCTGTAGCTGCCTGAAGTGATCGTGATTCGCTACATGAGAAGCGCTCGAAGGAACTGGATAATTAACGATCGTTTCTTCTGTGGAGATGATAGCGGACTTACAAGACAAAGCCATGTACGGTTCATGGGGTAAGAGGTTGGAACAATATGCACATAAGGGTCCACATGTGCCAGCAACGTGATGCAGCCAGTTCAGGTCCTTCTCAGTGGTATCTTGGTGCGTCATCGTTAAGCGATTGAAGAAATCTCTTCGAGGCTGCTGGATGTTTCCTGTTCTTCGCAGTGCTCACACCACGAGTTCAACCTTGCGGGAAGGCCATCGTCTTTATGCACCGACTTACTCAGCTGCAAAGCGCCGCTGACCTCCAATAAATCCAACTCAAGGTCGTTTCCAATAGCCTACTGTGCCCTCCGTGACGCTGTGCTGTTACAGACCAGCTGGCAAATCCTACAGTACAAATATTTTTTACTGAAACCAGTACAATGATCAGGTACTTAAAGGTCGCCTCACTTGCAGGTGATCGACACTATCGCCCTAACAACCAAACATCTAGGCTACAGCTCACATGCGTGGCACTACGGGACACGTAGTACCGTACCAGTAATAAACAAGGGCCTGCGGCCGAGCGCGAATACTAGGTGCCGCCAAACCAAGTCTCAAAGACAGAGTCCTTTGTGTTCACACAGATACAGTATAATCTGAAACAAAGCTCTATACTAGAGAAATGTTCACCTCTGTTCTTTAGAGTCCTCGTGCTCAACCATCCAAGTGCTCCAGGAACGTGGGATTGCTGGACATTTTTTTCGTACGGCCATTCGTTTCATCGAACAGTTCGTCCAGTCTTTTGTAGGCGTCTGACGCGCGATGGGTAATTACATTCTCCTTGCATGTAGTAGGAAGACAGACTTACACAGGGTCTGCAGAAACATGTAGTGGCAATTTCATATCAAGTCGTTCGGAGTTTTCGCGAGGCAGCGACAGGGTGTAGCACCGCACGAGGCGATGATCTGACATAAACCAGGAGGTTGCGTGAAACATGTCAGCCGACAGATGAGCTGCATATAAAAGTACTAATGAGGGGTATCTTTCGTTGCATTCATCGTGACTCTGCATTACCGTGTCTCGTCAAACCTCTACCATGATTCCATACTTCATAAGGACAATCAGCTTACTGATCATCCAACACTCTAGCTCGTTATTGCATCTCCATCTCAACCTCTTTCTTCGCCGCCACCGTCTGACTAGGCTTTTGCCGACTTCTACTCCTGTTCTCTGCTTTCTTTTCCACAATATCCGCTCCCAGCCCCAAATCGACACCCTGGTGCGACACGGGCTCAGTGGGCTGTTCGGTTTTCACTCCGGAGCTCGTGTTCTCGTTGTCTTGTATAGGCTCTTCCGGCTTCTCATCGACCGTGTCCTGAGTGAGATCTTGCGCTGGTCGATCCGTGTCCATATCGGCACTCAGGTCTGAGCTTGGCTTCACAATGTCACGTGCGACGTCTTCGCTTGGTCTACTGCTTGCTGCAGCTGGGCTCGCTGCTCTGTTCCCGTTGCCAGTGAACCCCAACTTCTCGAAGCTCGCCATAACTCCTTGCCTTAGGTCTTGTCCCAGAGCTGCTGCGGCATCGAGGGGTTTTGGTGTGTTCGATGCCATCGGAGAACGGTCCCCGACGGCGTGTGTGGGTGGAGGATGAACGGTCGTACCTGCTCCAGTCGCTCCCTCCGCGGTCTCTGTACCGGTCACAATAGGTTCCTGGATTATTGGCGTACTTGTACCACTCCTGCCAGTACTGGCATTGCTGGTCTGTGGTGTGAGGTTCGGCGGCAATTGAGAACCAAAGCTATTCATTTCCTCATCAGTTCGACCGAAACACTCAGCCCACCATCTTGCCTCTCCTTTCCGAGGGAAGATCATGCGCTCCTTGCCGCGGACAGCATCATCGATCTCAGGTTCGTACTTTGGATTCATGAACTCTTGCTTCCGGCACAGGAAGTAGTCCCACACACTCCTTGTTCGCTCCTTAGCCCTGGTATCTATGCGTTCCTTCTCATTGTCAAAGAGGAATGTTCCGTACTGACAAGAATAAAGATGGTAAAGTAAGCGCCTCAAGAAGCGCTCGCTGAATTCGAATCGGGTTGGGTGTTGGTAATGCAATTGGTATACGCAGTCGAGGAATTGATGGAAGACTGGTGACAGCTCGTTCACCTTGGTGATGCGATGCTCTTCTGCAGCTCCGATCTGGGCCGGCTTAGCTGAAGTAGGTTCTGCAACATCTGTGCCGTTTTCCGGCACGTTCGTCTCTGGTAGCTGGTTGAGAGACTCGTTCGACTCGTTGTGTCGGTTGAACAATCCCCGCGCACCACGGAGAGCATTCTCGAAGGGATTGCTGCCTCCAGTGCCGTCGCTCTTGCGCTCAATCTTCTCGTTCTCTATAGTGAACCATTTCTCGTGACTCAAGAAACCCGATCGGTGTCGGAACATGTGTCCAAACGATAACCAGTCTTTTTCGACAAGGAC